CCAAGCAACCTCTACTGTTGCTTTTGTGATTCATTTTTTAAAAGACTGGTTTCAAGAAGAAAGACCAGGAGCGAGGCTTTGAGACTTCTGGTTTCCCAGAGCCCTGGGAGGCTGCTATTCTTAGAGCCAAGAAAATGCAATCTCTACAGTGGGGTTTGCACCCAAACCCAACAGGTGGCCGCGGAGACGATGCTGCCTCCTGGCTGCTCCCGGTGTTTCGGAGAAGAAGTGCACCCCACGGGTTTCAGCTTCCAAAGCCCATCTCTAGGCCTTTCTTTCTAAGTGTCCCTGGGTGGGTTTGAACCACCCACCTTTCGGTTGGGTGGTGAGCAGCTCGGTGCTGAGCTGTTAGCACGACCCATAGCCCCAGTGGACCTTGGTCAGGCTCGCAAGAGCAGCTTTCAAAATGAACCAAATCACCACCCTTCCCCCAGGCCTCTCAGCCCAGGGTCCACGCCTCGCTTCTACCTGTCCCCACTGGTCTCTGCCAACCGGTTGTTCATTATTGCCAAGGCTCCGATGCCCCCTGAGAACTCGCTGTCCTGGGACAGCGTGCTGGGCTGGTGGGGGCCGCCGTTGGCGGTCTCGGACAGCTGCTTCTGGAGGATTGCCAGGGAGACCTTGTTGGCCGCCAAGAAGTCGTTCATGGAGATCATCTCCCCCGAGAGGCGCCGCCCATCCATGTCGCTGTCCAGGACGCCGTCTGTGTCTATGGAGATGTTGCACCGGTTCTGGACACTGCCGGGCACCACTGCGTTCCTCCGGGCCCGGAAGAGCCTCCTTTGGTACAGCTGGCAGCACCCGCCCTCCATCTTCCGCAGGATCCAGTTGACGGACTGTTTGATGAGGATGGAGATGACGTTGAACAGGGAGTAGATGCAGCAGACGCCCATGAGGATGACGAGAAAGTTGGCCAAGCGGTAGACGGTTTGGTAGCCATACTGGGCGTTCTGACTGCTGACGAGGTCACCAAAGCCAATGGTGCTGAAAGCCACAAAGCAGAAGTAGAGTGAGTCGAAGAAGCTCCATCCTTCCGTGAAGGTGTACATGGTGGAGGCGCAGCAGGAGATGAAGAGGGAGGCGACGCACAAGATCAGCATCACGTAGTACACCGAGGGCTTCCAGCCGGCCAGGCTGTCTTCCTCGGCCTTCCTCAGCTCCTTCAGGCTCTCCTGGGCCAGGGTCCCGCTTCTCTGGAGCTGCCGCTGGCGGCACCGTTTCATAACATAGGCGATGACGGTGATCAGGCGCTCCAGGAAGAGGTTGAAGAACAAGATGGTGCTGGCGCACCCAATGAGGCCGTAAAAGATGAGGAAGATTTTCCCTCCAACCGTCGCTGGAGTGGTCATCCCAAACCCTGCAGGAGACAAAAATCAGAAGAGAGAGGAGTGAGGGGGGCGGTCCACGGCGCCGTGTGTGGATTCAGGGTCTTGGCTTGGATGGCTGTCAAAGTACTTCGAGAGGCAGTTTCAAGGGTGGATGCAAACAAAGCGTCCCTCCACAGATGGGGCGGTAGACACAATGTATCACATCATACAAGAGAGTATTCTTCAGGTCTCAAGAGACATGGAGTTCTGATAAACAGTTCTGATAAACCTGGGGAACATCGTGCCCAGCGAAATATGCCAGGCACAAAAGGACAAAGCGCAGGCGGCTCCCCTTTCATGAGAGCCTTATCCAGTGAAGATAGGTGGTTCCCAGGAATTGGGAGGAGGGGAAAAGGGGAGTTAGGGAAGGAAAAAGGTAGGAGTTTCACGAACCAGCTAGTCTTACTCTATCTAGGATTGAGAGGGAGGAGCCCACGCCCATTTTTTCCAAACAGGACTGTATTGTGCTTTGGGTGGAAGTGCGGCTGCCATTGGACACCCTGCACCCAACTTGACAGGACACGGGTTCCATTTGTCACAATGGGTCCACCTTCTCTTTTACTGTGTTTGGGTCTTGCTGGTGCCATGACTCCAGTTCCCCTGCCCCCTGATCTCTGTCCCTTTGCTTTGGAGGAAATGTTGACCTTGTTTCTCCCACGGATGTGTTTCAGCACAGCACCGTAAGCCCACTTCCACGGAGCCATTTCCAGCCCATAGCGACCCGATATAGGGCTTCTGAAGCTGTAAAACCTTTACAGGAGCAGACAGCCTCATCCTTCTCTTGCAGAGAGGGTGGTGGGTTTGAGTTCCCAACCTTGTGGTTAGCAATCCAACTGTTACCTGACAGCCCCACCAGGGTTCTTGAGTAGACACCACACTTAACAGGTAACATCCTTCATGGGCCAGTCTGCTGTTTAGCTAAAAGGTGGTCTCAAAGGTCCCACTTCTTTCTGAAGACACTGGTGGTAGAGTGGGTGAAGTGCTGGGCCTCTAACCACAAGGTCAGCAGTTTGAATCTACCAGTCACTCCATGGGGTACAGATGAGACTGTCTGCTCCCGTAAAGCTTTACAGCCTAGGAAACCCAAAGAGGTACTTTTGCTTTATCCTACAGGCTCGCAAAGCGTTGGGATGGACTTGACGGCAGCGAGGTTGGCTCTGTGGGCTAGTGTTCGGGTCTGGGCTGCTAAAAGATCATCTACATCCATTGTGCAATTCAGCCAAAGGCACCTCTTCCCTGAGTGTGTGCAGCTATCAAAAGTGGGTAGAGCTTGGTAGCAGCAGCCTGGGCTGCATGTCAACCTCTGCTCCTTTGGCATCATTGAACAAGATGCTGCCTGAGCAATGCTACCTAGTAGCCCCGCTTCGGAGAGATAAGCTCAGGCTCCTACAATGGAATGGAGATACATCAGAATCCATTTCTTCTACAAACACTTGCCGAGTGTTTCCAGGAAGTGGGGAGTGAACTGGAAAGGACAGACGTGGTCCCTGCCTCCCCGGACTTCTAGTCCTGCGAGGTGGTGGCTGTATTGTGGGAAACATGTAATGTTGGAGACGATGCGGGGTCTTGCCAGAGCTTCTGAGAAGGGAACTCCTCCTGGACTTGGGGTTCAGGTGAGCACAAGCCAAAGCTTGAGGTTCAGGAGAGGACAAGCTAACGAGGAGTTAGGCAGGTGTGATAGGTAGGTTTATTGTGCCAACCTGGCCAATAGGAACATGTGGGATTAATCAGGTCACAGTTTGATTGGAGGGCAAAGACATACAAGGCTGCGTAAGGCCCTCCCCCCTCCTTTGCTCTCTGGTGATTGGAGCATGCTGGAGTGTGCTGCTGCTTTAGCTAGTTCTCTGCCTCAACCTGTGAGCTACACTACCTGTGGGTCAGCCAACAGTGGATTGTGTCGCTATGCTTGACGCTCCTTCGAGACCTGCTTTGCCACACTGCTAGTGCGTACATCGATTGAGCTTGAGGCTGGTGGATTTTGTCGCCTTGCATTACTTGCATTCCATATCCCATCCTGGCCTGGTTCCATTTGTCACAATGTGTCCACCTTCTCTTTCACTGTGTTTGGGTCTTGCTGGTGCCAGGACTCCAGTTCCCCTTCCCCCTGATCTCTGTCCCTTTGCTTTGGGGGAAATGTTGACCTTGTCTCTCCCACAGATGTGTTTCAGCAGAGCACCATAAGCCCACTGCCATGGAGCCATTTCCAGCCCACAGTGACCCGATATAGGGTTGCTGAAGCTGTAAAACCTTTACAGGAGCAGACAGCCTCATCTTTCTCTTGCAGAGAGGGTGATGGGTTAAATATTTATAGTTATTAACTGTTCCACGGAAGTGAATTGAACTGAATCCTCTGTACTGCTGTGTGGCCTAATTAGCTTTATATTCCTTCTCACTGTAAAAACCTATATATCTATATAATCCTAAGTGTCCTGGTTTCATGTCAATAGAGAACCCTGCCTAACACAGCAAGTAAGGAGAGAGAGAGAGAGAAGTGGGGGTGGGGAAGCAGCGAGACTCCAGGCAGATGAACAACCATAGATGCCAGCAGATGCAGAAATGAGCCCACGACGTGCCCAGCTTTTAAACCAAATTGTTCAGATACCCGCCTGTCGTCTATAAAGTGTTGATGCTTTATAGATGCGGCGTGTTTCTCATTAGTTGCCCACCGAGTGAATTCTGACTCGCTGCCACCCTACACCTTGCAGAGCAGAACGTGCGAGGTACAGTGTTTGAAGCTGCTGGTTTTGGAAGCAGATCTCGGGCCTGTCTCCGGGTTTGAACACTTTATCCTCATTCTACTTGAACATCATGCCATGTTGCTGAAATACATGTCACGACCCCGGCCATTGGCAGCCCAGTTCACAGACATTCCTGATGTGCTCCTGAGCTAGTAACAGCGAGCAGGAGAAGAAAGTGCGCCGAAACGGATGGTGGTGATGACTGCACAGCTCTTCTTAATCCAATCGGACTGTTGAACCGTGTGCTATGTGAGGTGTGTGCCCATAAACCTATTTTCAAGAAGTACACTTTAAAAAAACGTACAGGCTTACTTTTTGGCTGGAGACTGGTGGAACCCCTGAGACTCCGGCCCCTACTCAGCCTGCAGGTCTGGAAACGAACTCAGCTTGTCGTGGCTCAATTTTCAAGAGAACAAGGGGCAGGCCGATAAGAGCAACGCTAACACCAGGGATAGACCACCCGTTTGAGATGAAAAAGGCAGCGTTCCTTCAAGGACAAAGTTCAGAAGGGCTAGGAGCGGAGAAGCGGCAGGGGGATGCAGGGAAGAAGTGCGGTGCATGAGTTTGGGGATCGCAACAAATGACACGAGATGAAACACGTATGAAAAACGGATCTGCTTGGTAAACCTTCACCCCCATTCAAAATGAACAGCTGAAAAAGAAATTGTGCACCTCCTGCTGTGCAGGCGTCCTCGTGAACCGTTTCCAAAGTTTGCATCTCACTGCCGAGGCGCTCAGCAACACCTCCCGATTGCTACCTCACCCCCTGGGTGGCCACGAGCAACCTCTGTTCTCTGTGCGATTGTTTACTCTGGAGATTTCGTATAAACCCACGCCCTCCTATTGACCCTCTATAGTTCTGGGATTATGGGAGCTGACGGCCTCATCTTCCTCCTGGGGAGTGGCTGATGGGTTTAGACTCCAACCTTACAGTGAGCCATTCAACCCTTATTCGACAGCACCATGGGACCATATGCTAATTGTCCTTTTGTGTCTGTTTTATTTCATTCAGTGTGAGGTTTTCCAAGGTTCACCCATGTAGTAACTTGGGCCAGAACATTGTTTCTGCATAGGACAGAAGACGGTTATATAAGGGGGTACCCAAAAAACCGAATGGCACTGGG